ACATGAAGAACATTGCAGACGATCTTGCTTTAGCCCAAAGTCCTGTTGATGAAGAAGAACTAGTAGTTCATATACTGGGGTAACTAGGATAAGAGTATTCTCACATCTCTTCTGCACTCAAGATTCGAGAAATTCCAATTACATTCCTAGACCTCTTTTACAAGTTACTTGACTATGAACGCACCTTAAAAGAGACTCAACCAACATCCGGTCTTCTGGGCAGTACAATGGAGGTAACAATTATAAAAAAGGAAATCGTAATTCTAGCTATTGTCAATATTGCAACATTCCTGGACACGAAACTAAAGACTGCAGGAAACTTGCACGATTTCTCAAAGACAAAAACATCACTATCTCTATGACTACTTCAGCAAATCCAATGGTGAACACTACATCAATAGGTCCGACCTCCTCCAATCCACCATGGATGTTCGACAGTGGAGTGTCTCACCATGTTGCCTCTACTCCTGCGTCTTTTCACACCCTATCAGAATATGGAGGACCTGATGAAATTGTGTTAGGAAATGGTACAAATCTTTCTATTTCTCACACCGGTCACTCCACTCTTCCCACTCCATCTCTTCCTCTAAACTTACATAATATCTTATTTGTTCCTAAATTACGAAACAATCTCATCTCTGTGGCTAAACTATGCAATTCTAACCAAGTTTCTGTTGAATTTTTTCCATATTTCTTTCTGCTCAAGGATCTACGCACAGGCACAATTCTCATGCGGGGAGTGAACATCAATGATATCTACTATGCAGCAATTTGTTCTCTTCAACAGCTTCCAAGAATAAATTCAACAGTCACTTCTCAACAGTCCACAAGTTCCTGGCACCACAAGCTTGGTCATCCGTCTCTCAAAATCTTCAAGTTTCTTCTAGGTCGTTTAGGGTCATCTTGTAATAAAATCTCAACTGTTTCATGTCACACCCCGGAACCGAAGGCGGAAACGCTCCGGGGCGGAGGACGTCATGTGTAGTATCACAACAACCGTATCATAGTAATCAAAGTAAACAGAACCATTACATTGATTTAAGAATATTTACATCTGTTTGGAAACATAATTTGTACATATCGTTATGTTTAGAAGAAACAAAAGATAAAGACTGAACTTCAAGAAGCTCCATCTTCTCCAAAAATGAGCGGAGGTACCTGTCTATCGATGTCCTGAGAATACAAGCGGTTTTGAAAACGGGTCAGCATAAAGCTGGTGAGTTTATAAGCATGTTATTGTATTGGAAACTAGTCACTGAATTTGTACAAATTATTTCTTTGTACTATAAGTAAATATCGTTTGGTATCGAAAACATTCGTTATTGACTTTAGAAATAGATATACATGCTTTCCAAGAAAATCCCATATTTTCTAACATGTTCGTTGAATAAGAGTAAGTTTCATTCGAAAAACGCTGGTTGCCACCAGTAGATAAGTAGTTTTATTATTCAAATAAAACCAAGGATTTAATCGATGGACTCCCTTCCAGTAAGTAGATAGATGGTTTTAACAATTAATTAAAACTATTGAAGAAAATATCGTGTAAACAACGGTTAGGTATACATATTGTGAGTCGGATAACCATGCTAATTTGACCCGAGACCTTCTTGACGTTTCTTCGGACGTCGTACGATTACAAAATTTGTCACCCCGGGCGTGCTCGCCCCACTGTAGCTAACAGTGCAGGTGTGGGATTGTCAGTCCCGAATAGATCTATTCACAAATTTCACACTCTCCCTCCAGGAGACTCTGGTTATACTTCCGGAAAGGATTTATTGGTACCCCGAAGGGCAAAAACGAAGATTAATCTCACAATCCTGTATTAACTAGTTTACGAGTAATTCAGTTGTTCTCGAGTTCGAAATCATTGATAAACGATGTGGAGTATAATAATTATACAAAATAATTATCTAGTAAGATACTCCCGTTATTCGTATGGATAAACAAAATCGATCATAGTTTATATGTTTGACTTGCTTGGAGTTTTGATTCTGAAAAATGATAATGAAATCCCCAAACTATACCTATTATAGTTTGATTGATAAGTTACGTTTATGAACATTTCGGAAAAACTATGCAATTATGTTTAGAAAACGTCCCTTATGCTCCACATACTACAAAAGGGATAAAGTAACTAAGTGTTTAACGTAAAACCATCGTAATTGCATTAGTTTTTATGTTGTGAAAACCTTTATGTTTGGCTTGTATTCCCCCCCTGAAAACGTTGTAAAACTTATAAAAGCGTAGGGGTATGAACTCACAGTTTATCGTAGGATCCGAAAGCACAATTGGTTACGAGTGTTGAGTGTCAACCGATGTTTCGTATGCAAGTGGATCCTATTAACATATAATAATGATTATACGTATTAGATTAAGGCATTTCATGATAAAACACGATGGGAAACCACCCTAGGGACTTGGAAATGCTTGGAACTAAGTGTCGGAGCCATAATTGATCGAATAAAGGAAGTGTACGGCCATCAGTATGTGTGTGCGGCCAGGGTGTGCGGCCAGACTGTGTGTGCGGTTGCACACAGGAGTGTGCGGCCGTACAGAGGGTGTGTGCGGCCGTACATAGGAGTGTGCGGCCGTACACTCCTCGTTTGTGTCCAAAATGTCGATTTTGAGGTGTTTTCGAGGTGCTCTTGTGCTAATACCAAGTCCTATTAGTAAATGAAGGCCAAAACTCTTCACTTTGGAGAGTTTAGTGTGTGTGCGGCCACCTTATGAAGGTGTGCGGCCGTACACCTTCAAAGGATGAAGAACACGAAGAACACTATGATTTTTAGGCTTTGATTCAAGTGTGTTACCGATATAATGAGCTGATTGATGAGATAGTTCACGTTTTTTAGCCCTTTAGAGTGTTCTTGAATGAAGTTTTTAGAGAGAGAAAGTAGTGAGAGAAAGTAAAGTGCAGCCAAAGGAAAGGAATGAGTGAAGGGGTCCCCTTATATATATAAGGGTGTGTGCGGCTGGCGAGTGGGTGTGCGGCCGCACACCCATGTGTGCGGCCGTACACACCTCTCATGAGGGTGTATGGCCCGATTTTGTTTCTAAACGACATGTGAACTCATTCCTAATCTCATTCCTAACTGTACTCAAGCTTAGAACACTTAAACGGACCCTTATATAGCGTAAAATGGTGATAAAAATTGAGTTTAATATTGCTATAAAGGTCGATTGCACAGGACAAAAGTTTCGGGTTGTCACATTTCATTTCACCGTGCTTCATGTTCTATCAATAAAAGTCATAAATTGCCCTTTGGACCCAACTCTTTTACAACATCTAAACCATTACAACTTGTCTACTCAAATGTGTGGGGACATGTTCAACTTTCTAATGATAATTATACTTATTATGTGACATTTGTTGACTTTATTCAAGATACACTTGGCTGTACCCAATGAAACGAAAGTCTGATGTTTCCATTATGTTTCCACAATTCCGAAATCTAGCTGAGAAATACTATAATACCCCTCTCGTTTCCCTGTTCACAGACAATGGAGGTGAATTCATTAAATTAGCCTCCTATCTTAACCAACATGGCATATCCCATTTCACCACCCCACCACATACTCCTGAGAAAAATGGTATAGCCGAAAGGCGCCACCTCCATATAGTGGAAACAGGACTATCTCTCATTCATCATGCTAATCTACCTCTCACCTTTTGGAGCCATGCCTTCCAAACCGCTGTCTACCTGATCAACCGACTTCCCACACCCATCCTACACTATCAATCTCCATACGAAAAACTGCATAACACATCACATTCTTACCACAAACTAAAACCTTTTTGCTGCCTCTGTTACCCATGGTTACGACCCTATTCCTCATCCAAACTCCATCCAAGATCTGCCAAATGCATTTTTCTTGGTTACTCCCCATCGAAATCATCATATAAATGCTATGATACCACTACTAAAAAGTTATACCATTCTCGCCATGTTGAATTCATTGAGCATATTTACCCTTATCATACCGAATCCTCTACACCTCCTCCTACAGTAGACTCATTTTGTCCTGTTTTATCCAACACTGATCCAACACCCAGTACACAATCCTCTACCAATTACTCTCTACCAACCAGCACTCGTTCTCTTTCAGACGAAGCTTCACAAGCAACTCCACCACTAACCTCTCCTGTCACATCACTGCAACCACCACCTTCCCCTCCTCCGCCATCACCTACACACTCACCTCAGCCCTCATCACCAAGAGCAGAACCTATCTCCTCTCATCCACAACGAAACAGAAAATGCAACACTAAATATTTCAATGAGAACCTCATTAACAATACTACTCTCCACCCCATACCTTCTACTCTTAAACCCACCACTCATAATCAAGCTCTTAAAGATCCAAAGTGGAGAAGTGACATGGACTCTGAATTCAATGCCCTTCTTCAAAACCAGACATGGGATCTTGTTCCTTCATCTTCTCATACACCAATTGATTGCAAATGGGTTTTTCGCATTAAAAGAAATCCTGATGGTTCCATATCCAAATACAAGACCCGCCTTGTTGCAAAAGGTTTTCTCCAACAATATGGCAGAGACTACTTTGATACCTTCAGCCATGTCACCAAACCTGTCACCATTCGCACCATTCTTTCCATCGCTCTTTCCAACAATTGGCCCTTACGTCAGCTAGACGTCAACAATGCCTTTCTTCAAGGCACACTCCACGAAGAAGTCTTCATGACCCAGCCACCTGGCTACGTCCATCCTCAATATCCCAATCATATATGTAAACTAAAAAAATCTATTTACGGTTTAAAACAAGCTCCACGAGCTTGGTATGTTGAGCTTACCACATTTCTAACTCACTTTGGTTTCAAGAAATCAGCAGCCGATGCCTCCTTGTTCATCTATAAAAATTAAAGTGTCATATGTTACTTCATGGTTTATGTCGATGATATTGTACTCACAGGAAATAATAAGTTCCTGTATCATTTCATTCGAGACTTAGGCACCAGATTCTCGATCAAAGATATTGGTATGCTTCATCACTTTCTAGGAATTGAAGTCATTCCCACTCCTACGGGCCTGTTTCTTTCACAACATCGTCATATTCAAGACATTCTTACTCAATTTGGCATGGAAGGTGCCAAAGATGTTACCACTCCTCTTAGCGCCACCGAACCTCTTTCCATTACAGATCAATCTCCTACTGTTGATGCTACACCATATCGTAAACTCATAGGCTATCTCCAATACTTATCCTTTACTCGCCCAGATATCTCGTTTGCCATAAACAAACTCTCTCAATTCATGCATAACCCTCGCCAAACTCATTGGCAAGCTCTCAAACGTGTCCTTCGTTACCTTAAAGGCACTATTCACCATGGTCTTGTCCTCAATCGTAATTCATCTCTAACACTATCGGTCTTCTCAGATTTTGATTGGGGAGGTGTTCACAGCGCAGGTAGATCAACAACAACATATTTACTCTACCTTGGTACCAAAATAGTCTCATGGAAATCCACACGCCAAAACTCTGTCTCTCGCTCGTCTATGGAGGCTGAGTACAAAGCATTAGCCAACGCATCTGCTGAACTTCTTTGGCTCAAAAACTTACTACATGAACTTGGAATTTCACCAACTACTACTCCTACACTGTTTTGTGACAACACCGGTGCTACTTATCTATGTGCAAATCCTATTTATCATTCGAGAATGAAGCATATGGCTCTAGACTATCACTTTGTTAGAGAAAAAATTACATCTAGTCATCTCAAAGTACTTCATGTTAACTCTCAAGATCAGCTAGCCGACATGTTAACCAAACCCCTCACTCGAGCACCATTTCTGCGAAATCGATCCAAGATCGGAGTCTCCGATGGATCCTCCATCTTGCGGGGGCGTATCACGGATATACATTCCAATAGCACTCACAAACAGCCCAATGAGTCCAATACACCAGCAGCTGTTGGAGCATGAAAATGCTCTACAATGTTGAGTGTTTATTAGGTTAGAATATTCCCTTGTATGAAAAGCATATTCCCTCCACTAGTATATAAAGTGGAGGTGATGGTCATTTATTTGTAAGAGTGAACTATGTAGACTTTGTAGTTTAGAAAGAGTGTGGTGGGATCTCTCCCACCATGAAAGAGTTATCTCTCCCAACCCATGAGTGTTCTTGTAATATTTTATATCTCTCTATCTATCTACTACCGTTTTTACTCACATATTATGTTCTTCATGTTCTTATGATTATCTTCTTGGTAATATCTTCCGCACCGATTCAATCGATAAAATGGGAACCTACAAGTGGTATCAAAGCAAGACCTTGGAGATCTCACGATTATTTCAAGGGAACGATCCCGATTGGTTTATTATCTTGAAGATTTTCGTCATTTATGAAGATTGTCTCAGCCTTCGCAACTGAAAAATCTTCTGTGAGTTATTTACTGTTTTATTGGTGATGTTGCTAGAAAAATAAAAAATTTGCTGCTACTGTTCATACACTTTTGCTGCTGTTGAATTTGAGTTTATGAAGATATTTATATTTTGCTGAAGAAGATGAAGTTTTTGTTAAAAATGTGGTGTTTGATCTTATTATCCCATGCAAAAAGTGTTTAGAAAAAGACAAAAATATAATTTTGGGGTAAGAGATTGAACAAATGGTCATATGTTCGGAGTATGTGATTTCTAGAGTGTTGGGATATTTATTTCGGACTGTACAAGTTATTTTAGCTGTGATACAATGCTTATATGCATGTATTTTCTGAGATAAACTGGAGTTGTGGATAAGATTTTCCAAGATGAAATTGGTTATTGATGTATTTGGGTATAAAAACTCTGAGAGTACAAATTTTTGTAGTGATTGTACAAGCAATGGATGCATTACGGGAGAAAGCCTCATAATGCTGACGACTATCAACTTTTCAAGGTCAAATATGACCTTCTCATACTTCCAGACGCACAAGCTCCATGGTTAAACACGAAACATTAAATGCCTTTTGCTTTTGAAGAAAGCCATGCAAACGGTCGTCTTCTTGTTACACGAGTGTCTCACACGGTCCATTCAGCCAACGACACGTCATCGATGCTGGGTCCCACCTACATTTAATGTTTGAGTGTAAGTTCAACCCATTCTTGTCTGGACGTGGGAAAATAGTGGACAAATAGGTTTCAGTCAAACACTTGATTAAAGTTTGTTGGAAGTGACTGGTCCCACGAAATGGCAACACTACACCTCCTCATGTAGTGACTGTACTTCACGCACCCATTCACTTCTTGACAACTCACATCACCGACTCCTTTTTGTTGTAACGCCCCGTTCGAAAAGTACTTATTTATGAATTTCCGAGATCAAGAGTAAGGGCGTTTCTGTCTTTTATGGGCAATGAGTTTCATTCGGGAAGGTTTCGGACCGGGGTATATTGATAGAAGCGTAGGGCTTCTCGCCACCTTCGCGTGGATATAAAGTTCGTCGGGAACGGGCTTAGAATAAAGGAGTTATGACACTTTGAAGATATTGACATTTATATCCCTTAATGGGAAGAGTTGACGAGGAAGGCCATGCATGCCTTTGGGACACGCGTGGGTACGCCCAGCGTAATAGGGTGAATGACCGCGGGTGCAAGGACGCGTACGCCCAACGTACTAGAGTTACGCCCAGCGTACGCTCAGAGTCTTAAAACCCTAATTTTAGGGCCAGCCACTATATAAGGAACATTATGGTTCCAACCCTAGCCTCCATATCTGACCTCTTACTCTCAGAAACCCTAAGTAGCCGTTCTTCTTCCATTGTTGTGGATATTTGACCTTGTGGAGCTTAGTTTGGCAAAGGAAAGCTTAGAAGAAGAAAGAAGAGGTTGGCAAGAAGGAAACTTGGTGGCTGGAGCTTGTAGATCCGAGATAGCATCACCCTTTGCAACCACTTGAAGGTATAAAGCTTCTTGCTTGACATCTATTTTGTGTAGATCTATGTATGGTGAAGTTTTGACACCATTCTTGTCCCAAAAACCCCCATCTTGATGTATGATGTGTTTTGGTTAAGATGAGTTGTCCTTTCAGACCATTGGAGAGGTCTTGAGTAAGAAAAATGAGGTCCCAATGGCTTTGGTTGTCCCATATAAGAAGTAGGAAGGTCTTAATGGGTTAAGACCTTGAGTTAAGAGCTTTATGGACGTCCAAAAGGATAAAGATTGAGACTTTATGAGTCCTAGGCCCTTTTTGTCACTGGATCTAGCATATGGGCTTAAGTGCTTAAGCCATTAAGCACTTGGAAAGATTTTTGGGTACAGACGAGTGTACGCCCCGCGTACCAGAGGAGTACGCCCAGCGTACGCCCTCTGTTGGGTTTTTGATTTTGGGCCTTAGGTGATTGGGTTGTTTATGGGCTAGTGGGGCTTGGGCCGTGACTGAACATTATGGATGGAGTTATTTAGACCCAATAATTATTATGGACCTTGGATCTAGGCCCATTTGGTGAGGTGGGCCCAATTTAGTGAATTGGGCCAATATTGGGCTTTGCATGAGAATTTGGTTTTGGGTCTTGGCCCAATAAGAGGATGATGGACTTAATGAGTGTTGTGGGCCCTTGGCTTAGAAAGTCATGATGGATTCTAATGTGATGATTTACATGTGATAGTTGGGATTCCCGGCGAGTCAGCAGTCAGAGATTTGCAGGATTTCGGCAGCCGCAAGGTGAGTTATCCTCACTATATCGACAGGGTCTACGGCACCAAGTCCGGCCCTTTATCGGATGGGAATCCGGGTAGTTGTTGTTATGATAATGCTTTGCTATGTTTGCATCCTGGTAGTTAGGATGGTATGTGTTAGAGACCTGGTTAAGGTTGGTACCCGGGATATAGGGTAATGTTATGCTAGTGACCGGTTAGGTCGGAATCCTGGTTAGGATATTGATATGCTATGTGATCTGTTAGACTGTTTGTCTGGTTGAGGATTGTATATGATTATATGTTTATGTGCACATGGTTGTTGGACTGGGGTTGGGTTGAGGCGGGTCTTGCTTTGTGCTGTAGGCCAACATACCCAGGGCGGACCGGATGTTCTGAAGGCCCAGCGAGCGGTCCGGATAGGCTGAAGGCCCCAAGAGGGCGGACCAGACGTGCCGAGGCTCGGAGAGTGGACCAAGCCGACTGAAGGCCCGGTGCGGGCGGACCAGTCATACTGTAGACTCAGAGAGTGGACCAGGTGGATTGAAGGCCCGGTGCGGGCGGACCAATCATACTATAGACTTGATGTATATGACTAGACTCGGAGGGTGGACCAGGTGGACTGAAGGCCCGGAGCGGGCGGACCAGTCACACAGTAGACCCGATGTGCGTGGCTGTTCTATTTGTGATATGTTATGAGTATGATTATGTGTGGTTGGTATTTTGGGGGTAACTCACTAAGCTTTCGGGCTTACAGTTGTAGTGTTATGTTTCAGGTATTTCAGGAGATTGTGGCAAGGCGAAGGCGTGATCGTACACTCCTCATGTTTTATGATTTATGAGATATGGTTCTGGGGGAAAACTCTGATAATAAACTATTTTGAAAACGAGATGTATGAACTTAATGGTTTTGAAATGAATTAAAATGTTTTAATTTGGCTCAATTTTTATGGGTGTTACATTTCTCTCTCCATCAGCTCACTTCGCGTATAGAAGGACAGGCGTGAGGGAACAAAGGCTGACAAATGACAGCCTTCTGCAGCTTTTCCAAGTCAAACTCTATAATCTTATTTCTCTCACTTGCTTTTGTCCCATGCCAGCCGGACCTACCTGCCATCTGTCCCATCCAATTTCCCATTTCGGGCCTTTAGAGACCACCTTCAGAACCATGATTTTTTTTTATTCCGGACTCAACTTCTACTTCGGAACATCAAACTATTCCGGACCCAAAACTCAAAAGTGAATCCATATTACTTTTTTGTTCCAGACCTTTTACACCCTTTTATTTTAAAATCTAGACATTTTACTTTCTAACACATTCCGAACCTTTTTCCATTTCGTACCTTTTTTCCTTACCCATTTAGGAGCCCATCCCCACATTTCGGACCCTTTTCTTTTAAAACCAAATTTTTTATTCCGGACCTTTTGTTTTAAAACCTATTCCGGACTCAAAATTTCCGAAAAAAAATAATAATCCGGAACCCACCTATTTCGGACCTTTACCTTTTTTTTTCATTCCTGACCCTATTTTTTCACTCCGGAATTTCCACTCCTAACCACTTTTCACTCCTAAACTTTTTTTCACTCCTAACCTTTTTGAGCTCAACCCATTTTTCTAAGTGAATCCATTTTCATTATGGATCCACCCCCTAACCCATTTCTTTTCAAGTTTTTTTTATATAACCAATTTATTTTTTTAAAACCAATTAATTTTATTTAACACCCATTATTTTTTTTAAACCCATTATTTTTTTATACCAATTATTTTTATTAGAACCAATTTTTTATTAAAACCAATTTTTTTTTAACACCAATTATAGCCCCATGGTTCAAGACTTCATTCTTCTTGCTGATTATGAGTGAAGATACAGTTGTTTCAGATATTATTATTTTTGTGTCTCACTTCTACCGAGCTACTCACATTTTTACTCCCTCCGGACTATTTACATATGGTCTCGGACCATTATTTGGGAGTTCGGGTTTGCATTTCGGTTTTCGGCATTACTTCGGTTCAGCATTATGATTTTTCAGTAGCGGGTTTATCATATATATATACAGTGTTTGTTCAGTTCGGCGATACATCACCATGTCTACCCATGACCAAAAAATAATATCCTCGTTTTTACGGGTAGATGCTCACATCAAGGGGAAGCGTGCGATGCTCCATCATATCCCACATATTCTCTTGCCCGGTTTCATGATTATTTTTGATCTTATTGCACGGTCAATCAAAAATAGGGGGAGAATCATGAGCATCCATTCTGGTTTATTGTTGGAGTTTTGACGTTAGAGACATTTAAAGACGAAGATTCATTTAGTAGTGTGATGTGGCACTGATTTTTGGTCTTCACATATCGAATTTTTGGCATTACTTGATGTTCTTCGGATTATGATTATTTATCTTCAGACTCTACACTTTGGGATGTCTCATTTGTGTTTGCATCCGATTCAGATCTTATGATTGCTCGAGTTTGGATTTGCGATATTATGAAGACGATGATTATTTTAGCGATGCGGCGTGACACTTATTTTTGATCTTTCGATCAAATTTTTGGCATTGCTAGACCATGTCTTCGGATTCATATTATTTATTATTCGGACTTCACTTTTGGATGCTTCACATTTTCAGCAGGTTATTCTTCAGATATTATTTGGTACATTATCACTCGAGTTTAGAATATTGAAGACGTTGTGTGATTCGAGATTGTGCTCTTCGGTTCTACAGTCGAGGGGGAGACTATGAACATGATTAGTTTTTGGGGTCTGATCACATTCGAAGATTGAAATTTCATACTTTAATTCAGAGATTGGGGTTTCTCTGTTTGTTCGTTGATGCTAGAGATTCCATTGCCAGATTCCGAGATCACGACAGCTTCAGCTTTTCCGAGACGCTTCAGCACCAGACCTACCGGACCTGCCCGTCGGATGTTCTGCCTTTTATCACTGCATTACCCTCACCATTTCCGAGCATTTAGGGGGAGATTTTTGGAGCATGAAAATGCTCTACAATGTTGAGTGTTTATTAGGTTAGAATATTCCCTTGTATGAAAAGCATATTCCCTCCACTAGTATATAAAGTGGAGGTGATGGTCATTTATTTGTAAGAGTGCACTATGTAGACTTTGTAGTTTAGAAAGAGTGTAGTGGGATCTCTCCCACCATGAGAGAGTTATCTCTCCCAACCCATGAGTGTTCTTGTGATATTTTATATCTTTCTATCTATCTACTACAGTTTTTACTCACATATTATGTTCTTCATGTTCTTACGATTATCTTCTTGGTAATATCTTCCGCACCGATTCAATCGATAAAATGGGAACCTACATCAGCCTAATGAGTCTATACAACACGTTTACAATTAGTTTATTTACTCTTGTATGTTCAAATGTATAGTCAAGCAGATCCTAGAATAGCTCCTGTAGAATAGTTCTTATTAGTTATGTAATTAGCTTATATAAGACATGTATATCATTGAATACAATTATCAATTTCAATCATATTTATTCCTGCTTTATACACCTGACCCCTGAATTGAAAAAATCGGATGTTCAAGGTCAAATCAACGATTCATTTGGGGCTTTCTGGTAGAACCTTGGCTAGCTGCCCATGGAAATCCATACAGGTACATAAACTACACATTTCAAACTCTTACTTCTTCGATAGAGTCATGTGCATACTTTCATGGAGACTCTTCCTCCCGGAAAATGAGTTTAGTCTCAAGTCTCGACCAACCTGCAGACTATCCCCTTATATTGACGATTGTAGCAGAACATGATCGGATGAGACTTAAGAGACCATGCAATTGCTTACTCACATGAGCTTAAAAAGGTAAACGCCGATGCGCCAGTTCTTGATTAATGACTCCAAAGATTATGTTCATGAATTTGATACAGCTTGTGCTGATGACAGTTCTATATGGGTTAAGAAATACATCTCACATTCTCACTGAGCATCCACACTCCATTCAACTCATGGAGAGTTGAATAGAATGCCAAAATAGGAGAGAAAATGTATTTTTCAATTCAATTCTTAAAAAGTCAATAAAATTACACTAGAAATTCATTGAACGGTTCAATGAAGATTGAACCTTATACTCTCTCTCTTCCATATTATAATCAAATTTAATCTATTCAACCCTTATTGCACTCCCATTGTGGATGCCCTTAGGGGTCACGACTCTTATTAGTAACAAAAAAGTCAAAAACAGTTTAAAATAGTTAACTAGAATATATTTGTAGGATTTAACGTAACGTATTTTGTTTGTACAGCTACTTTCTTTGATCTAATTTATTTTGAAATAATGCTATCAAATCACATACACACATCATGATGTATGGGTGGTTTGTTTTATTACGAAAGCTTGTTACCATTAGTAGGTGGCTTTTAATTGCATTTCATTCATGCAGATGCCATAAATTGATGTTTGTACCATTAAAAAGAGAACCATTCTGTTGGCTTTGCATGGATTTTGTTCCATTTTTATAAAAAATTGTCACTTTTAAGATCAAAATTGTTGTCCCTAAATAAATAATGGAAACATGACACACCTTGGAAGAGAAGAGATGCTCCGTACTTGATTTTTTATTCCCCCCGGAGCTAATTTTCCTTCATTCTTCCAATCGATGCAAATTATGTATACAAAAACGTTTCTTGTATTTTTGACATTTTATAATAACATACTCTTTCATAAAAAGGTTAATTAATAACATATGTGTGTTGTTTTAGTTATATACAAAACCATCATTTTGGTTCAGTTTCAATTATAATGCATTTAAATAAAACAATTGGGAAAAAAGAATGCTAATATATTAATTATGATTCGGGATTTATATCAAATATAACTTGGGTAAATAGCATAAAAAACACTCCGTTTACACCAAAATTCTAATTTGACACCGTGTTTTTTTTTTGTCTCAAATTTGACACTGTGTTTTCCAGTTTGTTACAATTCTGACCACTTGACCGGTTAACCAGGTTGCATGCTGACGTGGCATGATGACGTGTCAGTTTTGATGATGTGGCATGCTGACATGATATGCTGACGTGTCAAAATTGAATTTTTTTTTCTACAAAAAAACACTAAGTTTTCATTTTTTTCGATTTTGACACTAAATTTAATTTTTTCTTTCAATTTTGATATTATGTTTTTTTGTTCCAAATCGAACATCATTTATCAATTTTTGTTCAATTTTGACCATTTTCCATTTCAATTAAAAACCATAGTTTTGTATAAAAACAAGTTTTTTTTTTTTTTTTACATTCAAACCATAATTTTATGTATAAATATGTATTAGTTATATAAAAACCGTATTTTATATTAAATACGCAACTTTAAAATGAGTTTGTAGGTTTGGAGGCGTATAGTCGATTAAAATTCGGATGTCAAGTTTGCAACCCCTGAAATTTTCACATCTTATTAGAAGCTTATGGTTAGTTTGATTCTCATGATATAACTAATGCATATTTATACATTATACTTTGAATGTAAAAAAAAAAAAAAAAAAAAAAAAAAAAAAAAAAAAAAAACCTTGTATTTAAATAAAAATGTGGTTTTTAAACAAAAAAAATATATTTATACGGTTTAAAATGTAATAAAAAAATATATTTATACGGTTTTAAATGGAAAATGGTCAAAATTGAACAAAATTGGAAAAAATGATGTTCGATTTGGAACAAAAAAACATAGTGTCAAAATTGAAAGAAAAAATTAAACTTTGTGTCAAAATCGAAAAAAAGTGAAAACTTAGTGTTTTTTGTGAAAAAAAAATCAATTTACCCATATAACTTTTATGATTATCAAAATATGGAGAAAGATATATTAGATAGTATCAGCAACAATGCATTTATATATTATTTTTCAAAATATAAAAATTCGTTGTGAATAATTATAATATATTTATTAGTATTTTTTAAAATTATGTTTGATCTTTGGTATTAAAATTAATATTGTATCTGCGTTTTTGGTATTAAAATTAATATTGTATCTGCGTTGGATAGTATCATAAAAAAAGAAATATTTTAACTCATGTGACTTTCAATCTTAGATTCGTCACCGTTTTGAACTATTTTAATTTGTAATTCCAAAACGAAGTTCCAAAATTATCAACATTTTAGGTAATTAGATAACAGCACTAATAAATTTTAGGTATTTAGATAAGAGCACTAATAGGAATTTTACGTGGTCAAATATCTTAACACATGATGAATGCAAAGATAACGTGTGATGTTTGTTTAGCCTCTCTGTTATGTTGTTTTTTGTGTTCTTATTCAGAAGGTGTCCGTGAAGCAAAACTTAGCATTAGCTTCTAAATGGATTATAGAATAAAATCCTTAATAAATCGTCATCACAAACGCAATTTCCAAATTTCTAATATATTTTTCTGTTCAAAAGAATGAAGGGCAGTAAGTTTGACAGTATATAGTTAATCAAAATATAGTAAGGCAATATATTTACACATTACATAATTATATACCATTAGATCAAGTGTACACTATAAAGGCTTTCACAAAACTCTTTCTTCTTTCTGCCATGGCAATAGCCCAGTATCTGGGTCACTAAACCTTTTTAAAACCCAATTCCTCAAACCCGAATCATTAACCTCACAAAACCGACTCGTCCAGTCACCCGGCTCAACCGCCCGTGTCCCCAAACCCGGGGCTCTATCTTTAGACCCAACATTTTCCTCATCTTGCCAATCCGAAACATAAGTAGCCACTCTCCTATAAAACTTCTCCTTAAACACCTCCCAAACTTGAAACTTATAGTGATTAATCACCATCAAATTTCTATCCACATTCACGTATTTGAACCCATCCTTTAGATCAAAATGGTGCACCATGTTGATCAATGACGGGTTCAGTTTCTTGGGTCGAACTATGCTCTTGTGCCTCTCGGGTAGGCCCAACCGACATTTGTATCCCACCATGACTCCTTCTGGTGGGATCTTTTTCAAACCTGATGGCCCAAAGTTGTGACATGATATTCGTAACTCTGCTACCTCAGCCGTGCTAGTTTGGTTTCTAATTAGGGTCTCTAAGTGGACCCCAGATGGCAAATATAAGAACTCATCAACGTCAATAAATGCGACCCATTCGCACAAGTCCTGGGCGCGTAACGCACAATGGGCAAACCCGGCTTCTTGAGTCTTGATCCAAGGCCATAAATGTCGGGTAATCTTGTAATTTTGATTTACCAATGATTCTATGATGTTTTCTATATCATCATCACTATTGTTGTCGTATATGAACCAACGGTCAACTCCAATTCGGGCATGGTACATGATCCATTCTTGCAAGAAACGGGCTTGGTTCCGGACCATGGTGCATGCACATACCCGATGTTGAATAGAAACGGGTGGGTCGGGTGAGGCTTGAAACTCGGGTCGGGCAATGGAGTCCAGAATACCTTTTCCATTGATTTTGATCGAGACTTTGATGGGATTACTGTTGTCGTTCTTCTGTGGGACATTCAAAAGACTCGAAGGAGTTTTACACCGTACGATCTCTTGAGCTATTGACACAACTTCTGATCGGAGCAGCAACTTGGGGTTGGAGAAATCAGAGCCGTACACACACCGGAACTTAGAGGCGTTGGACGGTTTTCCTGGCCGTAGATTGAGTCCCTTCACGAACACAACGGTGGTGTTGTCGCGGTCGATCATGGCTTCGTAAGCTAACGACTTCCAGTCGTGTGTGGGGCCCGACGGGAGGACTTCATGGGCGTTCAAACTGACGGACGCGATCATGCCACGTGGTGGAAGCTTACAACGTACAATCTGATGATCGAGATATGCGCCGCCGATTGATAACGGCGAGGATCTCCGGGATGAGTTTGGAGAAGAATAAACGCAGTCGATTTCGTGTTGCGTCAACAGAGGACTCGATGGAGGGTATTTTAGTAAAATCATTACTTGGTCTGGGAACAGCACCGTTTCTCCAATGGATATACCACGCGCCGCCGTTGAATCAGTGGATATAGCTTCTGTTGTTGATGTTATCCATGAAGCTACCAAATTTGGATGATACCTCTCTGTTTCAAAAGTTGTAATCATGATCAATTTTCAACAAAAAGTCTAAATAAAGCTACTAAGAATCATGAAAGAAGCTATTTACCGGTGAAAAAAAGTCGATGAGTGGAGAAAGTAAAACCAGATAAGAAGAGTAGAACTAGGGCGCACCGAGAGATGACGAACAGAGGACAACGATTACGGCGATCTTTCATGGCGTTAAACCTCCCAAAAGTATCATGGAAATCCGAAATCGATCACAGATTAATCACATAAAGATAGATCATATAGATTAAGTTCTACTAAATTAATTCGGTAGCTTAACACAAAACTTGAATTTTGTAGAAAAGTAGAAGCGTCTACCGAAAATCAATATCAATGTTGAGTAGGAAAGGACTATATACCGTTGGCCACTAAGGTTGGTTCAAGTTGGATTTTGTTTACAAAAGAAACCACTTATTAAATGGAAGCTATATTCCTGTATTGATTTTTTTTAAAAGTTAAAAGGAAAGTCCCAACTCTAAAACATTATCGCTATGCTTAATAATAAAACAATAAATATCTAATAGTACCCCGTAAGTTAAGCGGAAGCCAAATGCTGAGATTGCTACGAAATTTATTAAACAAGATGCGTAGAAGGCCTTTGCTAAAATATCCATGGAGAACATGAACTTCATCTTATCAAACACGTTTAGGATTTGGTATTGACACATGACATGGAGAAATGTCGTGCCAATGGGTGGGGCAGTACGGAGGATTACTTAGGGCCTCCAAATTAATAAGGTTGCATTCTTATATACCTTATTATATGTTAGTATATAAAAAATCAGATATCATGTTATACTGGTTGAGCGGAAAAATAAAAGAAAATATAGTCAAAACAAAATCATTAGTGAAGACATAGGGATGTGTAATTCTTCTGGAATAATCATCACATTGAGCCTCACACTACTATCGATCCAGAGACTCTATGAATCAATTCTGATTTTTCAACAGTAATAAAACAATCGATTCATAATAAATTGATTATGGTATTTTTTACACAACCTTTTAATTTTCAATTTCTATTACAATTTCTGTTTTTTGATTTCTTATTTCAATCTTTCTTAATACATCGATTTTGATATTTGATTTCATGCATCCTTAAAAAATCGATATTCTATTCATGTTAATCTGATTTCAGGCAGCCTCACTGATTTGATTTATGATTTATCTTTTATCTTAATCTGATTTCTGATTCATGTAAATTGTAAGATTTCGTTATTGTTTTTCACTTCTTTCATGTTAGTTGTCTGATAAAAAGTTAATTTATGTTTTTTTCATTTCCTTTATTTGCTTTTGTCTTATTTTACAAGTTTAAAATAATAATATGTTGCCTACAAAACACAGTTATATGGCAGTGAGAAGAGAAAAAAAAACAACTAATACTATTACAATCAAATGAGAAATTTATAACAATGAATCACTATAACGATATTTCCAACCCTATACCAACCCTCAGATTTTTACATCATTTTGGTGTGGAGTCATCTTCAACCTCATTCTATTTTTCACACCATTTTGAAGTAAAAGAATAATATTACACCAAATTTAGTATTATACTATTCATTTACATCAAAATGATACAAAACTTTAATGCACCATTTTTAGTTCATTTTCTTTAATCCTTATAATTTTAATCACATATTAACTTGTTATTAATTAATTGTAATTATAAAAGTTAATCAAAATATATGGTATATATTAAATTAATATTAATTTGTAACACCGTAATTTTCCAAACAAATTTTTCATTTTAAAATCGCATACTTTTCGTAACATATTGTATAGAAGTCTCGTTTATTCAAATTACAAAACACAACTCCATTAATAATCCAGGATCCTCAAAACATAACTCTTTCTCTGGTGTGTACAATCAAGCCGGTGCCGTCTCGCGATCCTGAGAAAACCTGAAACACATAACACATAACACGGTAAGCACAAAGCTTAGTTAGTTCCCCAAAATACCACGCACAACAACTAGCCACTCGAGGCTGAAACTCTGCGAGACCTTCCGGTCAATGTGTCTCAGTGGGACCTTCCGGTCCCATAGCTCGTTGGAGCCTCTGGTCCGGTCATACCTCGTTGGACCCTCCGGTCCGGTCTAACTCGTTGGACCCTTCGGTCCGGTCTGGTTGAGCCTTCCGGCCTCATGAATCGTCGGACCCTTCGGTCCGGTCTGTAACACTCCGCGTAACATAAATCACAAAGAAATAATGCACAACATAAAACATAAGGCATAATAACGCAGTACTCAATGAAAGCACATAAGACCTTCCGGTCACACATAACTACCACTCAAGGTAAAGTATAGTGAGAAGACTCACCTCGCAAGATGTCTAGTAAGCTCTCGTGCTCGATATCCTCGATCTAGCCTCCGCCTAGCACAATGATAATAATTCGAATCAATACTCTCTTTACATCCTTATCTCTAGAGAATGGGTAGAAGACCATTCTACCCCTCCCTGACCCCTCTTAAACAGTTTGACCAAACCCTAAGGTCAACTGAACTCAACTCCAGTCAACGGTCCAATTTTGACCAGACTCGTCGAGTCCACTTATTTCCTCAGAAGTCTCGTGAAAGTCCAGCTTAGCTCGTCGAGTTGACCCCTAACTCGTCGTGCTATCGCATGATTCAGCTCTTCGGGACAAACCCTAACCAACTCGTCGAGTCGGCTCATTGACTCGGCGAGTTCATTCAGACGATTTCAATCAGATCTATCACTCCAAACACTAGATCTATCATCTCAAGGCTCAATAATCACGTAAAGCTTCGATCTTTATGTTCATACATGAGGTTATTGCTCCAAAATGCTAACACATGTCATTCATGAATGATTAAGCCCAAAAACCCTCATATGGATGAATAAAGCTGGGTCATCTAAACTCTAAGGACCTCACAAGGTCCAGGTCTGAGGTCTAGACTTCTTGATAACACATGTCACTCAAAAACCCAACCAAAATGACAAAAGCCCTAAACTTTCATAGATATGAGATACAACTAAAATATATGAGAAAGGTATGGGCTTTTTACCTTCCAGATAAGCTCTTTGAGAAGAAATGCTAGATCCCACAGCCTCATCCCACTCCTTGCTTGAAGCTCACTCCTCTTCTTCCAAAAAGGTCCATCAAAACACTTGATTCAAACTCAAGGACTCTCTCTTAGCTTCCATGGCCGCCTAGGGTTTCACACAGGAGGGTTGATCAGAAGATGAGCCGCAAATGAGGCTATAAGTGCCTTTAAATAGGTCACAAACCCGGACAATTAGGGTTTTCCTCAGCAGCGCTGACTCGGCGAGTCAGATACCCGACTCGTCGAGTCCATTCATTAAACACGTCACCAAAACCCGACTCTACTCGACGAGTTAAGGCATTAACTTGTCGAGTCACTCCTCATATCTCGAAATGAATACTCAAAATATTATCCCTGGAAATCCGGATGTTACATAATTAGTCATAAGTATAAAACTTAATTTTAATATTTTAAATGTAACATTCATAAAATTTCATAAAAATTTTAAACTTTTCAAAACCAACCAAAAAATCATAATTGTTTACATAATAGTTTTCAAAACAGGTTTATCATCAGAGTTTTCCCAAGATCACAAAACATAACGTGACGAAGTGCACGGTCACGCCTTCGCCTTTCCGCGATCCTCTGAGGTACCTGAAACATAATCCAAAACTGTAAGCCTAAAGCTTAGTGAGTTTTCCCCAAAGTACCAACACAACACAGAACCAGAATAACACAATAAACAACATGCATACAGAGCCTTCAATCTGACTGGAACGCCCCACCAGCCTACAGTCTATCTGATACGCTCACAGAACCTTCAGCATGACTGGTACGCCACTTCGGGCCTTCAGCCTATCTGGAACGTTCTCCGGGCCTTCGGCCTGACTGGTACGCCCCACTGGCCTTCAGTCTATCCGGGACGCCCTAACTCTGTTGGCCTTCAGCACAAAGCAGGTCCGTCTCAACCCAACCACTCATACCCCGTGTCGATATATATATATATATATATATATATATATATATATATATATATATATATATATATATATATATATATATATGTATATATATATAACAGATAATCGTGCAGTTAACCAGTCAATAACAAACAGGACAGATCTTACAGATCACTAAGCATAGCATCATCCTATCTACCAGGACACAGATCTAACAGATCACTATAATACTCAATCATGCGGTAATCAGGATAACCATCCAAAAGGGGCCGGCCTTGGTGCCTTCGACCCAAAAGTACAGTGAGGAACACTCACCTCACACTGACGAATCGCACAGAAAACCTCTGGTTGTTGGCCCACTAAAATCCCTAAATATCACAACAATAAACATCCAATTAACAATTGAATTACCATCCTTGACTAATGACCCAAACTTAGGGTAAATCGCCACTTTACCCTATCCATAATTGGGCCAAGACCCGGTCCTAATTCTTCATCCAAAAGCCCAAAATTATACAAGGCCCATCATTGGCCCAATTTTCTAAATTGGGCCCAAACTTCTTATTGGGCCTTATCCTAAGGTCCAATTATTCACTTGGCCCAAAACACTCATACTCGATAGACCAATTCGGGCCCAAGCATTCAAGCCCAAAAGGTGGTCCAAAACTCGAAGCCCAAAGTCTGAAGTCTAACAGAAGGCGTATGTGGGGCGTACTCTTTCGATACGCAGGGCGTACACCGAGCCTCGCATTGACCCAACAACGGGGTGGCTGACCAAGTACATGGGGCGTACCCTCGCAGAGTCCAAAACTTCAATAAGTGCGTAATGGCTTAAGCACTTGAGCCCAAACTTTAGATCCATGGTCGAAATGCACCTTAGAGTCATATCTCCAGCTTTATGACTTTAGACGTCGAAAAAGTCCTTAATACATGGTCTTAATCCATTAAGACCTTCCATAAGAAGCATGGAGCCAAACTAGCTAAAGGGACCTCATTTTTATGGCTTAGAACCCTTCCTAGGGTCTGAAATGACAGCCCAAAACGATCAACACCAAACATGCACAACAATGGGACTTTGGGGGACAAAAGAACTTCATAAAGCTACCAAGATGAGATCTAAGCAAACCAAGCATAAAGGTTGCAACTTTTTACCTTCTGGAGCTTCCCAAGAAGATGATGGTCCAAGATCTACAAGCTTTCTTTCCTTCCTAGACTCCTTGATGCACTTCCATCTCCTTTAAACACACAAATAACATACTTTAAGCTCAAAACACTCTCTTATGGGGTTAGGGTTTGCTAAGAATAACTCAAAGGCTTGGAGGCTGAAAGGATGAGGCTAAATGATCCATAAAGATGTTTAAATACTCCTCAAACCCTAAAAATTAGGGTTTCATCTGGACATTAGTACGC